ATAGATATACTAGTTTTCAGAACTATAATCATCATTTTCTGCAAACTAATTGACCGAACATGGTTAATATTCAGATAAGATGGTTGTTGGAGGTAATCGGGGAATATCAGTTCCATCAGGATTACAGGTAAACCTTGCTAAAGAGTGCCAAGTAGCATAAAACTCAGGTCCATGGTTTAAAACTATTAAAGGATTACCTGTTAACTATCTCCAACGACCATTATATCTCAACATAGTGCACGTAATGTCGAGTCACATAGACTGGTGGCTATATTGCAACTTGATCGATAGGATTCGATCTGCACTAAGAAGGAACTGACATACATGACATTGATCACCCCTCAGTAATCAATCAATTATAAATGGTTTATATTCATACATCTTCATTAAATATTAATCTGCTTTGATCACCAGCTTTATATTGTTTACTTTTTCTTTTAAATATTTAATCAATTATATAATTATCAGGTTACGTGGAGATTTTAATAATTTTATAGAGTTGAGATCATAAGTCAATCGAAGCTAGACCACCATGGAAAACCTGGAAGCACTGCTTGACGGCCGTTTCGTTCTATTGCGGAACTCCTGATCAGTGCGCGAGGCGGGATCGTGGATGCGCACTATTGAGGAGTCCCACAATAGGATAAAACGATCGTTCAGCGCTTACAGGTTTTCCATGAAGGTCTAGCTTTAATTGACTAATGATTTCAACCATATCAAAAGTAATCATTTAGTTTACTTTAATGAGATTATAACCAAATTATACGATCATTAAAAATAAGCTTTCTATTAGTTGAAGTATTAATATTATCTTTCACCGGTCAAAATTAATAACTGGATAAACATAAATTAGCAACTATTCACTTCTGTTATAAAAGCTTAACGACTGTATGATTTATAATGTTTATCATTAGTTTTACCCAATGGTCTTACATTTATATAGTTACTTGAGTTTCAAAAAAAAACCCATCACAGACACTATCCATCTCATTTTATGAAATCTTTAACTGAGTAAACGCCTTATGATTATTTCAAGCTAGAAACTGAGCCGAAAATGTATATATCACTAGTCAGTAAATGAAACTTCATGTCACTATCATTTTTCTCTTTTCAAATTTATTTCATTGGATTATACTCCTTTAATAACATCTTCAAACCCTAATCTTTCGGTTTACTGTTTATACTGTTAGTACTTCTACCATTATGGGATTTGAATCGACAACTGTATCTCTGTGCTAATGTGGTATGGCAACTTGAACTGATGTACGTATGTACGAAGTTCTACGTTGTGACTGACTGACTGACTTACAGTAAATGAAAGATACACATCTGTTTTTTATAATAGAGTTTAGCATTTTAGACAGTCAAAAATTAACTAGTAAGGCGATAACTGAAAACATTTTACTTACTGGAATTTATACAATCAACAGTATCATTAGTCATCAAAAAATGAGTATGGCCTATATTATGCTACAAAACTCTGTATGCAGATATTGTTATCGACTTAAATCTTTAACCTTTCATTAAGTTAGGATTATTGACGTAATATCAATAAACTTGAACGTACTATTTCAGTATTGTGTATTGTAGTAAGTTAGACTTGAATAAGCCCAATATAGTTATCAATGTTCAAGGGAAACTGAATGTTTCATGAGTGTATTCCGTCTAATTGAGTCTGAACACCTGGATGTTATCTTTAGAATTCATTAAACCAATGTGGTTTAAAGTTAGATATATAGACCCATACCTCGTAAACGAACTGTCAAATTAAAATCGGAAACCAAGATCCCATATACAGTATAGTGATTGCAGACACATAAAACTTTGTGAAGTTTAGTAAGTTACAATATATTAAGTGTTTCTATTATAACATTAAAACATAGAAATAGCGAATAAGTATTTCTTTTCAATAAGTTCCTGATTAAGGATTTCCACTAATATATAGTTCTTACAATTTACAAAAATGTCAATAACAAATAAATAGTGATGATTCAATCTAACAGATTTCTTAATAATTTCCCTAAGAACAGTAATCAGTTAGTTACCATACCGATGGACAATTAAAAACAAGATTGAATAACTAGTAAGTTGTAACAATTTGTCATGTAAAAACAAAAGTAAGAACTGAGTTGGAAACTAATCAGTTTAATAAAAAAATGTTTAATACTATTTATGGAATGAATAGTATGTAATTAAGAAAATGGATGAAAAGAAATGTAGGAGTTTAATGAATAAGATATGTAGAATATGTAAGAATACAATTATAAAAAAAGACTATTGACATTTTATGTGACTATATATTTTCAAACAACCTTAATTTACCTATTCCCTTAAAAATTCTTAAAGAGTTATTACTTTTATGTACTGATAAAGTTCAGTTCAATTTTGAAGGCGAATACTTTCACCAGATTGATGAGGTCGCTATGGGTAGTCCGTTAGGGCCATTACTAGCAGATGTGTTTATGGCACATGTGGAAAATTTGTCTAAAGACTTAATTGGAAACATGTCACTTTATAAGAGATATGTGGACGATATCTTAGTAATTGGCAAAAGAATGGAAGACATAAACTGCCTATTGAATAAATTTAACACTATCCAAAACCATATTAGTCTTTCATGTGAAGAGGAGAAGAACGACCAACTCACCTTCCTAGATGTACTTCTAAGCAGACGAGAAGATGGCTCAATAAAACGATCCATTTTTCGAAAACCAACGTGGACGGGTCAATATCTTAGTTACTATAGTTATTGCCCTGTGCAATACAAACGTGGTTTGGTAAAGTGCCTTTTTAACAGGCTTCGTCGTATTTGCACAAACGATGCTATTGATGACGATGTTAAGTTGTTAACCATGACATTAATCGGGAATGGTTATCCACCTAAATTTATCAATAGATGGAAAGTTATGGGCACAGCGAGACCTGCTGTAGCCTTGGTAGAGAAAAAGCCTGTTTACATCACCTTACCATTTAGAGGTGATTCAAATAGCCTTTTACTGAAACAAAGGCTTAAATCAGTCATCAACAAAACATATTGTGCAGCAAACGTCATGATCAAAGAAAGAACAAGGTCCATGCTTCATTCAAAGCCTAGACGACATGAAAACGACTGTGTCACATCCCACTGCGTTTACCAATTTAAATGTGTGTGTGGTCACACATACATAGGGAGGAGCAATCGTGATCTGAAAATTAGGGTGGGTGAACATGTACCAAAATGGTTGCAAAAACAAATACAGTCGAATGACCCAATAAGAGTAGATGATAAACATCCATCATCCTCTGTTGCTAAACGTATAATCGAAACACGTTATTAGATTGATCTTAACTCAGCTTTTGTTGTGTTGTTTAAAAGTGTAAAAGGGCGTATACTAAGGTTTATTGAAGCCTTAGCCATACGAAAATTCAAACCCCCTTTGTGTATTCAAAAACAGTTTGTTCTCTCCTTAAACCTACCCTGGTAATAAATGCTTATTATCCAGAGTGATTAGGTGTCAAGTTGTTTTCACATTATTTTATCATTATTATCCTTGTCTATTTCTTAACCTTACTACCAGTCTAGTTGACCTTTTATTTTTATATATAAATGTTCTTAACAAGTATACTATTTGTGATCAGATTGTTCGAAATATATTGCGCTAATATCCGATCACATAGTTCTGATAATCTTCGTCTTCTTATTACATTATCGAAATTTATCAAAGGGACTAATTGCTTTAAATACAATTATAAATTAAGACTGAACACAAATGAAAAATATTTCTTTTTAACAAACTTAAAAGTAATTATGTAGAAGGTTAGGTTCAATTTAATGGGCTTTGTAAAAAATTTTTTGTATTATACAAGTTTACTGAAAGTATAAGATATGTTCAGAGAGATTCTATGTATAAACTCTGAAATGTGCATTTATGTCAGTGTAGTTTACTAAATTGAGAGAATGAAAAGCGAATGTCTAAAGCTTTAACCGGATTGATGGATGTAGAGGATCCACCTAGGAGAGTTGGAAAACTCTGATCACAAACCAATGGTGCACATGGACTGGCTCCAGTATCCTGAAGGAACGAATGGCGTATGAACCAAATGTTAATAACCGGCTACCATGGGACTGCATCTATTCACGATGCTCCACTGCCTTGTGGATCAGACCTTTAGATCAAAGGCTCCAGGTGTGGCCCCCTAAGAAAACCACCTGTTTCGATTAGGGCACCTGGGCAGTATCACAGCCCTCACGCGAATCTCATTTGATTTGTGTGACGCATATGTATCTGATGCTTTCTTGTACCAATATTTATGTGTTTAAACAAATAAATAAAGATAATAAACTGAACTAACAAAATCCACATTTTTGTCAGTAATCCAATACATTCAATACTAAAAATGTCATTTGAATTGATCATTAGTTATGCAATAGATAAGTATGATAAATCAAAAGCATATCCATCATGAATAAGTAGCTTATACAAAATCATAAAACGTTAGTAATTTAACTTTCTACTTGGGATATTACAATTATGTCATCATTATTAGTCTACCCAATACCCAATGTCATTGTTTGTGATATCCATAATTTTCACAGTTGAAATCATGAGTCAATTGAAGCTAGACCACCATCGAAAACCTGGAAGCACTGCTTGACGGCCGTTTCGTCCTATTATGGGACTCCTCAGCAGTGCGCATCCACGATCCCGCACCCGCGAGATTCGAACCCAGGACCTACCAGTCTCGAGCCGAAGCCCTTTAACCGATAGACCACTGAGCCGGCATCCAATGGTGTTAATGTCTAACTTCAACCAATCCACGATTTTGAGCGACCGTTCACCAATTGTCTTCAGTGGGATGATATCTCTACAACAGACCTGGTAGAACTCCACTGGACACTGCTTCCCACTAGAATTCAAGGAAATATCTCTTGAAGTCAGTCACTAGTGAGCATATGATTATAGATCAGAGTAAATAATATGGTTATATCGGAAAGTATAAATATTTTATAATTGACTTACCATTTGAATCCACATCCATAGATGATGATGTATCCACAGTAATTGATTCACTGACAATATAATCACTATTTACTAATTTAACAGTTAATTCGTTATTTGTAAGTCCAATAGGGCTTGTAGTAGTCATACGTATACATAGACAAATGAAATGTACTCATCAAGTGTAATTTTAAAACTAAAAATTGTTTCCTAAACTGAGTTAATTCTGACAACCAATGAATAGTAAATTGTTTCTTCCAGCCAATCAACGATTAGTATTTTCAACCAATCATATTATAGATAAATGAATTTCATCGGTTATTAAAATCATTGGATTTCGAATAATGTGAAATTGTGCTATTAGATTGTTCATGGAATTTTGATACTACAGATACTGTTTATATGTTGGATATGGCTAAGTGAGATTCGAAATGTATACTCTACTCAAAATAGTTGACAAGTTGCATCTTCCCAGTGAAATTCATTTGAAAAGACAATAAAATGAAGAAAATTTATACAAGCTTTTCATTTCCTAACGATAATGGTCACTTTGTTTATGACATTTAAAGGACAAAGGTCATGGTTACATGAAAAGCAAATTAATTTGAAAAGGAAAAGACGCCAATTTCATTCATTAAACTGATTATTTTAGGCGTTGCAATATATTTTGAAGAATGAAATACTTTCAGTTTGTTCAAGATTTATGTGAATTAGTGAATCAATTGGTAGGAAACTAACGAATCCTTTTTAAAAATCATCTTTTTGTCTAATCAAAAATGTACGAATAAATATATCACAATAGATTACCTCAAGTAACAGATATTAAATTCAGACAGAATGTTTAACTTTCAATCATTATTTTTCATAGTTGAGATCATGAGTCAATTGAAGCTAGACCACCATGGAAAACCTGAAAGCACTGGATAGCCGTTTCGTCATATTGTGGGAATCCTCAGGAGTGCTCATCCACTATCCTGCATCGCGAGTTTTCCTATCATTCGTTTGAAATATCTAATCCCACTTCACAAACGAAATGTCTATTAAGAACAATCTGTTCACATATGTTCGAGTCCCAGAGTGAACATCAACTCTGAGATACAGGTACATCCGGCTGACGAGTCACAAATAGGACGAAACGTGCGTCCTGGATTCCACTGCTAGCCACTATCCATCTTTGCTTATAATGCTGGTGAATCAAGGCTATATCGAGGCAATACGCACAGTATGCACATATGCCAATTAGAGACTGACCAGTTTCAGTCCTAACACATCGATGGGAAGATTCAAACAAACAATACTAAGTGAATTTATAATTCTTTAATTTAGTAATTGACTCTTATGATAAAATGATCACAATATTGAAAAAGAGTATTCATTAGTGAAAAGTCATGATAACTAGAAAAAATCTCTAAAACTTATAAAGTCTTAGATAGAGTATTTGTTCTTTTCTTAAATAAGTATTAATTCAACGCTGTTGTTTGTAATTCTGAACCAATGAAAATGATTTCAATCGCTAAAAAACTCTCTACACAAAGCATTTCTTTTCTATGATTCGTAAGGTATATGATTTTATAGAGTTTTTAGTGCCTGAACACCGATTACCACGACGCGATATGCTGACTAGTATTGGTGATGGTTGGAAGAAAGTTAGGGGTGGCCAAACCATATAGTGGCATCAGTACTTGAAGTCTCCAACTTCTAGTTTGTGTGATGTTGGTAGATGCATATTACTTGGTTGGGGTCCATGTGACTATCGTAACCAATGGTTGGTTACTCTGTGTGACATGGCTGACAGTCGATCACAATGGCGTGGGTGTATACACTCTTTATCTTCCCTTAAAAATTGAGATTAAAATTGCTTCATATCTGTCTTTCTTTCTGTACTATATCATTATATACAACCTTTCTTTTATATATTACCACCACTAAATTAACTACTTCTATGAATTTGGTGTTCATCTTATTGTGCTAACGAGGTATAGCATTTTGGACCGATGTATAAATGTGCCTGGTCATACGTTGTAGCTGACTGACTGACTGAGAACTTTCATTATGTTTCTAGAAATTTTCATATCTAATTATTCAGTTACATTTATCGTCTAAATGTATAAAATTACTTATAAAGACAATGAAAGTTTCATGATTAAATGATTAAGGTAAGAGAATATGGTTTCATCGAAAATAAAACAAACAACTTTATTAGCACGGGGAATTTGTGGAGATTATAGACTTTCCATGTTGGTTGAAATTAAACATTAACACCGCAGAATGTTGGCTCAATGGTCTACAATTTAGGCATTCGCGCACGAAATCGATGGTTCTAGGTTTGATTCATAGATGCATGCTGCTGAAGAATTTCATATTAAGTGTGATGGTCTTCCTAACAACAGTTCATGATGTAAATTATGGACACCATTAGGTTCTAGAAACTATTCACTGAATGCAATTATATACTTCAAAAATGGTTGATAAAATTACTGCAGTCTTATAGTATATCAGTTAGGCTCAAAATTAAATCATTTTTATAGACAAGTGAGTTACTGAAGTCACAATAACTAATGCAGGATGAATCGAATAACAACAATTTACCTCCCAAGTGTTTATTCAGTTCAATAATATTATTAACCATCAAAGCAACAGCAACACATTACTTTTAACTATTCATTGAAAGTAAATTAAAATCAAACATTGAAAGTAGATGGAAAAAATGCAATTAAAAAATTATATTCAACAATAAATAAGCAAATAGTTAAGTAAATAGGTAGATAGATAAATAGATAGATAGATAGATAGATAGATAGATAGATAGATAGATAGATAGATAGATAGATAGATAGATAGATAGATAGATAGATAGATAGATAGATAGATAGATAGATAGATAGATAGATAGATAGATAGATAGATAGATAGATAGATAGATAGATAGATAGATAGATAGATAGATAGATAGATAGATAGATAGATAGATAGATAGATAGATAGATAGATAGATAGATAGATAGATAGATAGATAGATAGATAGATAGATAATGTACACGATCATCAAAATAATCAGTAGTTTTTATCATTTATGTTGCAATATAATACAGAAAAGATAACTAGTTAGCATTTGTTAATGTGATTGTATTCGCTGATAATTACGTGGATGAATATTGATAAGATCTATCTATCTGTCCATTTATCTATTTACCTATCTATCTATTTATTTATTTATTTTTCTGTCCACCTATCTATCTATCATACGGTAATATAAAACACAGTAACTAAGTTCACTGAGATCAAGTGTAGAATTAGTTTTTACTGAAAAACATTTTCGATATTCTTCTAGCAGTTTCTGATAACTTTCGAAGATCCTGGGTCCGATTCCTAGATGTGAGGTGGTAGATGTACACTACTGAAGAGTTCCATATAATGATGAAACGGCTCTACATTACTTCCAGATTTTTAATGATTATCTAACTAGAAACAGTTGACAAATTAAACTATGACAATCCGTTGAGTGTCAACAATCAAAAGTGATTAGAAAGATGTATTTTAGAGTTGATCCGATCAAAACAGGTGTGGTAAATGACTCTCAAGAATGAATGACACTCAGTTAAGCATCGTGATCATGTTCAAGCACAAATCGCAAGAGGCACTCATTTTTCTCTAGATCTTCAGCTTGAAAATCTGATGTTCCACTGAGATCAAGTGTAGGATAAGTTTTTACTGGGAAACATTTTCCATATTCTCCATAGTTATTTGATTTCATTCATCCATTTAAAACTTTTACCCTTTATGATTCAAGATTACTTTTGTGAATTTTCAAATGGAGTACAATCAAGTACATTATGTTTTCTACTGTTTAATTTATTGATGAACCATTCGAAACATAAATTATAAGATTTACTTAAAATATAACCCAAGGAGTAAAATCACATTTTATGGTAACAAAGTTTTAAAAAGATACATATACTCACTAGTGACTAGCTTCAAGAGGTATTTCCTGGAGTTTTAGTGAGAAGCAGTGTCCAGTGAAATTCAACCAGGTCTGTTGTAAGATAGCAACTCATTGAAGACAATGGTGGATGTTTCGCTCAATTTCATGAATCGCTTGAAGTTAGACATTAACACTATTGGATACCGACCAGCTCAGTGGTTTCAGAAGTTAGGTGCTCGCGCGCGAAACTAATAGGTCCTGGGTTCGAATCTCGTGAGGCGGAATCGTGGATGAGCACTGCTGAGGAGCCCCACAATAAGACGGAACGGCCGTCCAGTGCTTTCAGATTTTCCATGGTGTTCTAGCTTCAATTGATTCATGATCTCAACTATTGAAGATACTATTCTGTTAATTTACATCAGTTGTTAAAATCACTATTTATAAGTAAGTTTTCGCTTGGAAAACAGAGATTCTAGAAATATTACTCAATGTCTGTCTTCAAATCATTTATCATCTATCACATTTTGCTGTATTTCGATGTCGGCTTATGTTGATAATACATAATTCTGAGTTTTTATGAGAATGAGTACTAACTGTGTATAGTTGATTTATTTGTTTGAATTCACACGGGGTATAAAAAAACTGGTTTGAATAATTTTTTCTAATTAGCGTTTTTTTAGCGAATGAACAAAAACTGGATAGAACTAGAAAGGAAGGCCCAGCACAGAGTGGGTTGGAGAATGCTGGTCAGTGGCCTATGCTCCATTAGGAGTAACAGGCGTAAGTAAGTAAGTATAAAAAAGCTACATAAATATATGGATTACTTTACTATCTGATTACTTTCCAAACTATTTATTATGAATGAGCTTTTATAGGGTTATTAAATAATAAGTCATGTAGGTTTTAGTGAAGTCATCATACGTGAGTGACAGCGTACATATTTTTATTTATTACATATTAAAAAGAAAATTGACTCTCCGATACAATACAATATGCACCAATCCAATTACACTTGACGGAGAAGCTTTGGAGGATGTGGAAATCTTTACATATCTGGGCAGCATCATTGATGAACACGGTGGATCAGATGCAGATGTGAGGGCGCGGATCGGCAAAGCAAGAGCAGCATACCTACAGCTGAAAAACATCTGGAGCTCAAAACAATTGTCAACCAACACCAAGGTTAGAATTTTCAATACAAATGTCAAGACAGTTCTTCTGTATGG